AAAAAAAAAAACGCTAAGATATTTTTCATCGCAAAAAATAGAATGAATACAGAAATTGTTTATACATGAATGGCAAATGCAGATAATTGACAAGAAAAAGGATATAAATTTGTAAACATCATGCAGATTCGAAGGCTTCTTAGTAAGAAATTTATCTTGTATCAACTCTAGCTTGTATCCTTATGCACTTGTCTCTCAGCACACTTCCTGTCGCGCTATCATCTCCGCGAATAGTGTACACTCGTAGGAAAATGTTTGAGTAATGCTTACCAAGCAATATCCCGTCTCCCTGTCGCACACCTCGGATCTCCCATTGCACTGGCAGCGTCTGGCTTGTCCGACAAGATCGATCACGATGGTAGACGTGGCGGTGGTGTTCTTATACCACCTGTAAAAGCCAATGCTAGGATCTTGGCAAGACGTACCGTTGTATTCCGGCGGACACTGGCAGATCTCCACTCCGGTCGCCAGTGGTGGCGAGTGTGTAGGCATCAGGACGGCGGCGTCGAGAGAAGCTTCCAGCAATCTGAGATGCAGATTAAAATACTCTTACAAATTTACATACTAGTATATATTTTAAATCATAATAGAGTTGATGAGTAAAATAATTTTTACGTCTAAATTTGTTCGCTCAAAATTAAACATGAGGCAAAAAGAACGTTGGAAAATAAACAGAAATTCATTTTACTCTCTATGATGCATTTTTTTTCAGTTACATACGTGGTTCTTGTAAATTCAGCATTGTCCGAAGCTTTTACGAGAATGTACTGCAGATTTTGCAATGCAACCATTAGAACCTCCCTGGAAACTTTGTAATCTGGCCTGTTTTGTAGCTGCCACAATGACTCGTGAAATCTAAGGTAAAATATGCATGACAGTCGTATAACGTCTAAGAATATATTTTCAATGAATCTATACAAAAATTTCATGATATTAACAAATTCTCTTTAACAAATTATATTTAATTTCATTTGATAAATTATACGTTAAAGTATCTAATTTATATTTTATTTACATTGAAACACGTGTTTTCTTCCTCTTTTCAATTAGCTATGAATGTACCTGACTTGATAACGATTATCGTTTACTGGTAGATGAAGATAATATTCCAAGACAATTTTATTGTTGCCTTGTAACTGCACCACGGGATATCGGAGATTCGATCTTAGAGGTATTCCACCTTCCGTCGAGGTTTTAAAGCGCAAGAATCCTCCGTAAGAGACAACCTTAAAGGATTAATGTGAGTCTAAAGCGTTGTGTCCACGATGCGAGAAATCGCTTTGAAATATCGGACAGAAAAAGAATTGATCGTTGATCAATCGGCCGAATTTTGCATACATAAATTTTTATTTTAATACGAGACTTCTAAACGCGATTTCAATTTATTTTTTGAACGCAGAATATTGATACATATTTAATGAAAAAATTACCTTATCGCCTAGAAAAGAATCTGGCAGTATCCAATATAAAGGATAATTATAATAAAGAGTTGTAGGCAATGTGACATCACCATCAGATCCAGGGATTACGGAGAGACCATTTGTCACGTTTAACCCACCGTTCACCGCTGGTAATACAGTTGTGGAGCCAAAATTCGTTATCTGTTTCATCATATGATAATTAAATGATTTATACGACGTATAAAATACTATTTGATAAAGCTCATTCGTCAAGATTTAACAGCCGAAACGGATCTTACTATTACATCGTTGACTGTGTCGTTGATATAAAGAACACGAGGCCGAGTTAATCTGCGTTGACCCCAACTGAGTCCGGCCTGCTGACACAAGGTGCTCCTTCCGAAGCAGAAACATTCGGTGCATCCCTTAACATTGTCCATCGCAAGGCCGAACGTACCTTCCTTGCACTGATTGCATTGTCGTCCGACGACCAGTTCCTTGAAGATCATTCTTTAATTAATGCCTTTTCAGTGTTACGTCGGAAACAAAATGTACAAAACTTTTTGAAATTCCATAATTAATTTCAAATGAAAACTCACAAGGAGATAACTAAAAAACAATATAAATTTATTTTTTCCATTTTAAATTTTCGCGAATGGAATATAACGATTCGGAAAATTCATTTTTTCATTTTAGTTTAGTTCGAAGTGTGTTTACATATACACAGAAAAATACATACTGTATTCAAATATTAATTGTTGATTTCAAGTATTTCAAAAGTTTATATACTCGCAAATTTATCACAAATTCATATAATATCATAAGCATTAAATTTATTCAAAATATATTCTGAATACTAGTAAGTTTAATAAAGTTTGATTGAAGTATTTATTTAATACTTCAATCAAAATTATTAAGTAAATTCGATCTACTCGTCAATTGTTTTTTCAATAAAATTTTATAATATTCTTTAAAAAGATAAATTCTTGCTTTGATACATAATAATAAATTTTTTCTTATTTGTAATAAATATATTTTAAATCTATCAAGAAAATATTGCTTATTCAAGATAGCCGTCACTTAAAAGAAGAAAAGTAATAAATTAAGTAATTATTTTTCTCTTAGCGGTAAAATATTTTTCTGTGTGTACGAGTTAATTCTCTCTAACACAAATTCGCAAAATTCCTTCAGCATTAATTTTTTATTCAGCACATTCTTTTCCCGTTGCGACGAAAAAAATCTTAAAACTTTCTTTTTGGCTCCTCATCTCTCTCACCTTGCACGGGCACTGTCCCTTGTCATCGCATTCACAGACACCGTCATGGCAGTGCGTCGTGCCGGCTAAATTGCAGCCGCAAGGCCGGCACCTCGGATAGCCGTAGTAACCCTTGGCACATCTCTCGCACCTGAGCCCGTCGTAGCCGATTCTGCAGGGGCACTGACCCTGATGGTCACACTGGGACCCTGTGGCGCCCAGGGTACAGGCGCATGGCCTGCAGCCAATCCGCGGCACTAAGTCCCACGCACCTGGTCTACACCGGTCGCAGTGCTCGCCGTAGGTCAAACGGGGACACACGCAGCGACCGGTATCAGGGTCACACACGTGACCGGGTCGGACGCATGAATCGCACACTGTCGAGCAAATGGTCTCACATTATAGATTCTCCAGTTCGCCGAGACTTTATAGACGTAGTAAAAGATGCAAACAAAGTCTACTCTTGAGTGTTTTATAATTTCGCTTTCTCTCTTGTAAAATTTCGAGAATTCCTCGTGCTGATAGTTTGTTAGAAAAAAGAAATGGACAGTCGCACATTAAATATTATTTTATATATATATATATATTTCAATGCAAAAATATTATTTGCGAAACTTATAAAGCAAAGAAATTGCAAGGGATTTGATTAAAGTATTGCTATTTCGACTAAGAAATGTCACGTTAATTAGATCGGAGAGGACAGCAGGAAAAGAATTTCACTCACATTGACAGCCGTTTAAAGAAAATCCATAGTATCCGGATAAACAACTGTCGCAGCGTGAACCATCCACACCCGGTTTGCAATAGCATTCTCCTGTGTCGTTGCTGCAGGATGTGTTATGAGATCCCATAGAATCGCATCCGCAAGGCGTGCAGCCTGTTCCTGATGTCAATCCCCAATAACCGGTCTAAATCGTCATATTAAATCCGACAATTAGAAATGTCCCTCGAGCTTGAGTTGCATTAATTGAATAACAAATAAAGAAAGAATGAATATTTAAGAAACACTGTTGTAACTTTCAACTTATAACTGTCTAGATTAGAATCTGCTGGCGTCAGACTTATATTATTATCGTAATAATTGTCAGGATCTGTTAATTGACTTTGATTGTTGGATTTCGACAGACAATGATTTATCACGTCTGACTATGTCTGACGTTTACCACTTCTGTATTACAGATCACTGAATCTTTCCCGGTATCTGATACAGTCGCATTATGAAGCAAGACATTTGCCTTCGCTATTAGATGCTATTCAAGATAATGCACTTCAATGTTATGAATCACTTTATCTTACTCGGCATTCGATATTACTCGATAAATTTGAGCTTCGCTTTCTGATTTGGATTTCCTAATAATATTATCTTCTAATATTACAAAAAAAAATATGCAGATTTAATCTAATTTATAAAATTAAAAATTTGCGACATCCAGTATATCGTAGAAAATCGAGTCTTACCTTACATTCGTTGCATTGTCTGCCAATAACTTGCGGTTTGCATTGACACTGTCCGGATACGATGTCGCAAGCAGAACTTGTGGAGCCCAAATTGTTGCAGCCACATCCTGTAATCAAGCGAAATATTATCGATGAAACATAAAAATTAATTTCCATCGCAATTCATGTATTTAAATACGCCTATAAATGACATCAATAGATAAAATCTTACCGGAATAAATCGAGATATAATATAAAGCCGCAATCTTTGTTGAAAATTATTTTTTGGAAAGTAAAAATAAATAACATCATATTTAAATTATTACTTCTATTTAAACGTTATAACTTTGAATAGCAATAATTTCTGTTGTTCTATATTTTTTTATTCTTTATTATAAATTTCTCGCTACAAAACTGATGCTAAAGAAGACTATAATTTCCGAAGTGAGAGACATAATTAAATGATCACCGTCAAGTATAGGCAAGTGTCGACAGCGGTCCCATTAATAATTCATACAGAATTATTCTCTTACTTTCGCTAATTGCGCACTGATGAAACGTCTGTACCGTTTCTAATCGATTAGAGTGGCGCGAATTTTTTCGGCCACCGATCGCGTAAAAAATTCGCGGCGTGACCGGCGATCGTTGCTGCACGCATTCGCCGATTTTGTCCGACGTGGTCACGCGTGAGCGACTTGTTTATGCAGCATCGAGCAGATTTTGCAATTAGCGATGCCCGTCGCTGTGAGCGCCGCATTGTATTCAAATGCCGCAGACGACGGCTGTCGTTCTCGCGCGACTGTCGCCCTGTAATGCCGCGGAAATTATAAATTATGCATGGTCGCATCGAGCATCGTCGATTGGAGCGTATCGATTTCCTATTAACAGTGGCCCTTACAAAGGGATTACCCGCGAGAATTGATTCGGCGACGCGATCGCGTGTTTACACACCGCTGCGATTCGATTGAACGATATATAGCCGGGAGACATTCATGCGTGATTATCATGAATAATAAAAGATAAATATAGCATGTATCTGTGGAGAACATGATTGAAATAAAATTGATTATGTTTATACATATTTTTGAATTTATATACATATTATTTTCGCACTGATCGATTTTAATATTAACGACGCAAGATAGATAGCCAATACATATTTTATCAATGTCATTTATCTCTTTCATTCTTGGGCTCTTGGTGAGTCAATCTTAATTTTTTTTAATTTCTTGACTTCTTGACAATATTAAATATAATACTCGATTATTGTTTTAATTTGAATTATTAGTTTGCTTTCCTTGATAAACTTTTGGGAATGTTTGAAGGAAGACTTCTTACGATTTGCTTGAGAAAGGGAGATTTATAACGTTTTTCACTGAAAAAAACTAGTGCAATTTGATGCAAATCAGTCCTTATATTTCCAGTATTAATAAATAATTTATCATAATCCTTTTACTTACATATTCTTTGTTATTTTTTACACGATAACCTCATAATAATTTAATCTTTAAAAGAATCGACTTATTTATTAACACACTGAAAATATGTAAATCAATTTTCACTCCAATTTTTCATTCTATCAGTGTTGCGCTAATTTTTCCAATGGAAAACAATATTATATCTACATTTAAAATTTTTACGCTAACGATGATTCAAAGTGAAATGAAGTTTCATTATCGACATTTCGTTTTAAATAATTTGCTCATCTTTAAATGCCTTTTGATTTTTACAGATTTTTAATTTTTGAAACATTCGTCGAGGTATATATTTTTTTTTTAAGACTGAATTTCCAAATATGTCTCCCTAAGAACCGCAAATGCTAATTTACACATTTTCAACCGAGGATCGTATCAATTCTGTTGTATAAATCATTAGACAACGCACGACACAAATACCTGAGTGAAATGAATAATTCTCTTCGCGGTGTTTCTCCACCACATATCAATTCCGATCAATCATGTTACGCGAGACATTAAGCGTTCCCCCCCTCCCGTGATTATGTGCATAATTACTCTTACATCATCGAGTAACAATCATATTACATCGGGAATTACATTATAGTCGATATGGACTCGTAAATTAATATCGCATTGTCGAGTCCGATTGAATCGGAAGTTATTAACTGTTGAATAGTAAGCGAAATGAATTATTCGCTCGCTTGTCTAAAGAAAATTTCAATTAAATTTCATTTAAATTTTTATTGTGCGATCTGTACATTTTTTTTCATTTAACAACGAATGTAAAATGTCGCGATAATTGCATGGAAAAAACAGTTTTGCTGGAGTATCTAAAAATTTAATTAGATACAGATTTAAAGATAATTTTATTAAGTTATCAAAATAATTTATATATATATATATAAATAATGCTTGAGTATGATAAATAATGTTGAAGAAATTTTAGTATTCTAGTAACCATTGAGATTTTTATGTAACTATTTTTGATGGTCCGACCGAATTATTTTCAGATTTGTATCTGGCTGATTTTTTAAACACTTCAACAAAACTGTTCTATGTGCATTGAAAGGTGTAATAAGATTTTTTTTTGTAAAAATACTGGTCCATAAAACATGATGTACCAGAGATTGGGAATTAAAATTGCAACGTTGTCGTAAGAAAGCTCACACGTGCAAATGTACGGTAATAATTTTAATGGCGTACGATATCTCGCCGACTCTTTCATCTGGCCGAGAATTGAATAATTGGCCGAGCATTTTAGCAATTTCAAAAATTAATTACCAACTTGATAATCAGGAAGAGAGTGAGCTAAAACGTCCGTGGTGATTTGTTCGCGGCATGTCATGCTATATATTGTAAATCTCGCGTTATTGCTTGTCTTATCAATTAATCTTTACGACGAAGGAGATGCCACGGCTTTCTAATTGATGTTCATGCAGAAGGTGCAAACAGGAATGTTTGTAATATAATATATTAGCGCTATCGTTAAACGCAAAAGATATCAATGTCTAATTGAGATCTAGCTCCTCTATAATCGTTTTTACCTTCCATATAATTATAGAAAAAGAAAATTTATATATGGAAAAAACAGTTTTCGAGAAATAACTAAAAATATAACTTGATTCAGAAATATAAAAATAAATAATTGTATGAACTACGAAAATAATTATATAGGATACAAAAAAAAAAGTTTTATATATAGGGAGAAAAACGTTTTTGCTAATAATTTTTAAAATTTAGCTAAATATATACATAAAAATAATTTTGTTGAATCTCATTGAGATAATTAAGTAGAATACTTAAATATGATGAGCAATAAAATATTTTGATATTATAACAAACTTGAACATCTTACAAAATTATTTTCAAATCTATATCTAGCTAAATTTTTAGATACTTCAAAACCATATTATTGTATTTATTCAAAATATGCAAAACCGCGCGTAACAAAAGCTAGAATTTTCTATATTTATTTATTTATGCAAATCGGTAAAGATGTAAATCAGAAATTGACACGGTTATCCGATATGGTCATTCGATGTGAAAATTTTCGCTTCTCTAGCTGCAAAGACGCGTGAACGAGGTGACAGCATTGTAATTATCGCGCGTCTCGGTAGCGTCGTGTATTAGTTTAACGAGCGGCGACGTTATTATGTGCGGAGTTATCGGCTAATTCCGATTTTTGCCTCAAACGATGCTATTTGAATAATTATCGTTCTGTGCGCGAGTATATATGTGTGCGAACGCAGATTTATGCTGTCTAATAATGCGCTAAGTGTTTTCCGCGAACGCGCAGTCGAGAGCTGTCATGCTTGACACGTGTTAATTTCGTGCACCGAGTTACACGCGTGTCATTGCACGTTTTCACATCGCTCGCTACTTTGTTAGAAAAATAACGCTAATGGCATTACCGAGTTGCTTGAATCATACATACAATTACGTTACCTTCAAGTCGCTCCGTCTATATTTCTCATTAAAAATCTGACAACGATAAGCATATTATATCATATTTACATCACCTTTCCAGAACCGACCATAAGTCTTGTAGACCCACTTAATTATAAATCTATCTGTCCAGAATGAAAAATTCAATTTTCTTTGCGTTACATCTGCAAAGTTGTATTATTTTATATTTTAATTAGAAATATTTTAATTGAAATAAATATACCTAATATTCGTTGTTTTTTATGCAACTTATGTCATTTTGATTTCTTGAAATTAATTTTTTTAAACTGAGTTTTTATTTATTTATTTTTTATTTTTTATTATGTATTTTCTTTAATTTTACCTTTCTTTATTTGTAATTTATTCTTTTGATCGTATGACTTTTTTAAAGAAATGTGTTGACTCTTACTTTGCCCTTATTTAGTTGTTTATTCTTGAAATTAATAAGTGCTTTTAAATTAAATAAAACTTACAGTCCCAGCGTCAGTAATTGTAATAAAATTTATCTTCAGCAATTTATTAATTCTTGTTCCTTCGACATGGAGAATCTCTGCTCTTCTTCCTTTTGCCAGGAGATTTTCCAAGATCTACATAATGTGTAGGAGGCAAGTGAAATTTCCGTTTAATAATGAAAACAAATTCGCGCTGGCAAGGATTAAAGGCTCGTTAGCGCAAATATAGTGGCGGCATGACGCATGATTAATTCAGGCAGCCGTAAACGTGCGAGCTGCGGCTATCGCGCGCATAAATAATGATCCCGCGTCTCTCTAATCCCGCCGGGCATTCAGAACCGCATTTGCGGGCGAATAAATATCCGTTCTCGTTGCACAAAAGATCGGCAAGATCGGCCGGGAGGGCGATCGCTAATCGTGACAAATACGCGTCGTTCCTTAACGCGGTCGAGTCGCAATAAGGTTTATTAATTGTAACGAACCGATTCGAGTCTTAACGTCAGCTCGGCCCGCATTTGCGAAATGATTTAAGAATGAAATCACTGCCGGCGAGGAAACAAAGTGAATTTATCCGATTATTAAAGCGGGCACGTTCGTGCAATTAGACAGGCGCACGTATATGGAACTCGCAATACAAATGACGTACTTACGTGATTAACGTGATGCATTAGCTGTGACATTAGCAATTAAATCGTAAGCAGATTTATGATTCCAATAATGACAACCAAATAAAGATTTACCTTCAATTATCAAAGGTAATTCATAATTTCGATA